GGTGTCGCAGGTGTAGCCACTTGGACAACAATGGAGTCCATCACTGCAACACACAGCCTACAAGTTGAAAAGGTATGAAAACAATCAGAACAAAATTTTTTTAATGGGTTATCTTAAATGGTACTAGATCAGGGGTGGAAAAAGTTCTTTTGAAAATGCGAGGAAGGCAGTAGTTATGTAATCTACTCTGAAAGTGACAACTTACATTTGGCATTGGGCAGCATCCATATTGTCCACTACTCAGTTTACAGCAAGTATTGCCATCTGGACATTCAGACTGACCATCGGGACACATTACAGACTCCAACTGGATAGTCTTAGCTTCAGTCTTTTCTACCCATGGAAGAATGAGGGCGCCCTTTGTACACGTTCCTGCACCGGTATCGCAAGTGTAGCCACTGGGACAACAGTGGAGACCATCACTGCAACATACAGCCTACAAGATGAAAAGGTATAAAAACAATCAGAACAAAATTTGTTTAATGGGTTATATTAAATGGTACTAGATCAGGGGTGGAAAAAGTTCTTTTGAAAATGCGAGGAAGGCAGTAGTTATGTAATCTACTCTGAAAGTGACAACTTACATTTGGCATTGGGCAGCATCCATATTGTCCACTACTCAGTTTACAGCAAGTATTGCCATCTGGACATTCAGACTGACCATCGGGACACATTACAGACTCCAACTGGATAGTCTTAGCTTCAGTCTTTTCTACCCATGGAAAAATGAGGGCGCCCTTTGTACACGTTCCTGCACCAGTATCGCAAGTGTAGCCACTGGGACAACAGTGGAGACCATCACTGCAACATACAGCCTACAAGATGAAAAGGTATAAAAACAATCAGAACAAAATTAATTTGTTTGTTTGCAACACTCAGCCTGTAAATTGATAGGAAATCCAAACATTTAAAGAACTAAATAATTTTAAAACTGATTTAGTATACTCGTTTCTAATATCCCATTTTTGTATATGCTTGCGACGTACACGCTCTCAACTAGATTTGTATTGCAAGCGCATTGCTCCATCCAACGACAGGGTAGTGTCAATCATAGGATGATTTCTCATAATACCCCGACAGGAGGTGCAAGGTTCCAAGAAAAAAGTGGGTGTGGGTCGTACATCAAAAGTGGTCCAGGGGACGTAGGGGGGCCCTCCCGAAAATATTACAATTTAGGGGAAATGTTTATTTAATCGAATTTAGAGAATATTACAAAATACATATTTTTTTTAAAATTTTTTCTCCCGACGAATTGCAGTTTTTTTCTCATCAACAGGGATGCAAGGCCTCTCCGACGGAGGATGCCGTGGCCCCCGTACCCCCCGTAGCGCCACCACTGTCAGAAAGATGATGAAAAATAGTAATTGCAAGCCAAGAGGAAGTATACAATGAGAGAGAAGCAACAAGAAACAACAAATGCATTTGCTATGAACTGATGGTAACAGAAGAATAATGTGTATGCTGTCAAGTGTTTTCAATACATTTGTTATATAATGAAGGCTGCAGACAAACAGAATGACAGTGAAGAGTTTAGGAGCCTGAGTGTATGCCTCTCTAGCCTAGACACCAAGGTGTTCATGCACCAATGCATACAAGTCCATGATACATTCTGTTTTCAACTTTGATTTCAGTACGAATCCCTGAACATAGTGATATAGATGGACAAATGAAGCTGTGCTTGATGATTAAGATTCCCAGGATTTTTTTTCTCACAATTTACAACAAACCTTTGGTAGAGGGCAGCACCCATACTGGCCCGACGACAGCCGACAGCAGGTGTTACCATCTGGACATTGCGACTGACCACCTGGACACACTACAGACTTCAAGAGTTTGGCAGGGATGTGCGAAAACAGCGCAATAGAGGACGTGTAATTTTCACAAGTTCCGCCGGCAATGTCGCACTTGTAACCTTGTGGACAGCAATGTATGCCATCATTACAACACACAGCCTTCATGTGGAAAAAACACATACAGGAAGTGTAGCGCAAAACAGGGTTTGCTTTAACACAATTAAAACTTAGTCACATATTCTGGTAATGGTCATGTGAAAACTATACCATAGGGAGCCATTAACATGATTACAATTTTAACAATGAGATGAACGCAGGCTTATAAACAGTTGAATTTGTTTGGATCAGTTGAATTGGATTGGATTTGATTTATTCATTGTGAACACCAAGAATAACCCATGAAAGTCTGAAGGAGTACTTATTTCCAGTAGGGTGCTTCTAGCGGTGATTGGGCAGTACACCGGGGACAATCCCCTACTCTTACTGCATGCTTTAACATGCACATAAGCCATAATTTACACAAAAACAACGGCTTAAACGTCCCATCTGAAAGACGGTGCGCTATCATAACTTTCATTTCAGCTCTCTAGCTGCTAAAATACAATGACAGCAGCGATGGAAATTGAACTGGGACCAAGAGATTTCCATAGTTCGTGCACACAGTGGCTACCACCAGATTAACCAACTGAGCTAAGCTGCTCTCTAAAATCGAATAAACATGGGCCATTGCTTCATTAACTAAAGGCTATTGCTTGCATGTATTAGACTAAGTTGATCAATTCATTCTTACTGTTTCTAGAGGGCAGCATCCATATACTCCACTTCTCTGTTGGCAACACGTGCTTCCTGTTGGACAATAAGACTGACCATCTGGACAGATGACATTTTCGAGCTTCTCAAAATCCTAAGTAAATGAATAAGTAACATTTGTATATTTTATATGATCAAATTCTCCTGGTTTGAGGGAGCAGGTGACCTGGGCAATCCAGCAGGAGAACAGGCTGTCCAAAGAACAGATGGTGAATCGAGGAAAGACAGTAGTAAAGCGGCGGAGTGGACCATAAAGCAAGGGGAGCAGAGAAAGCAAGGGGAGAAGACAGTAAAGTGAAGAGCGCACACAGCTGATTGAGGGTGCAGACAGTAAAGTGAAGAGCACACACAGCTGATTGAGGGTGCAGACAGTAAAGTGAAGAGCGCACACAGCTGATTGAGTGTGCAGACAGCCGAAGTAAGGGATGCAGACAGTAGAGCAAGGGATGCAAATAGTAAAATAAGGGGAGCACACAATTCAATACCTTGCTAATTAATTCAGTAAAAAAAAGAACTTTCTTGTCTTTGACACAAGACTGTTGTGCAGTGTTGCAAGTGTAACCGGTGGGGCAGCAGTGTTTCTTGTCTGAACAGCAAACAGCATCTTCCATTGGACAGCATCCGTAAAAACCATCCTTTAAGGCACAGCATGTTGTATCATGCTGTCTAAACAACAGTTCTTGTCCTGTCTCTTATACACATCTAGATGTGTATAAGAGACAGCCTAGCACCTGATGCTTGAGGAAGCACCTCATTAAACAGCCTGTAGTGCAGAAAATGTTGAATTTGTAACCAAGTGTCATTTAATATAATTTATATAAATTTGCACCATTTCTAAACAGATAATTTCATTCAACAAATGATCATCTTATAGAACAATTTTATGCAACTAGACAAGGGGACCACTTCCTTCACCATGAAAAAAAGTTGCGGACCACTCCGCATCTACTAATACAGTATTCAAAGTCATTAACTTTTTTTTTGTGTCATTGTAAAATTGATTATTAAATAAAGTTTCAAATGATGACAGCACAAAAAAAAAAGGCTGGAGTAGACATTTTCAAAATTCTAATGGCTACATTGAGCCTACTCATATCACTAATATTGTCTTTACGCTTGTTATCATACCTGTTGCATGTGATCATCACCCAGACGGAAATGCCAAAGAGTGTGCATGAGACCGACCAAGCTGTTTATTTTAAGACCCATGTAAGATTTCAAGTTGGGAACAAAAAGCAACACCAATAAACTAAACCTAATATTGCATTGCAGTGTGAACACAATGTCAAATTAAAATTATGGTGGATTTATAGGCCAAATACGACAGTGGAGACCACTCAAACTTTGGCGGACCACTTACTTTTCTGACGGACCACTCACGTTTGACAGAATATCAGTAATTCCGTGGACCACAGGTTGCGTAACACTGTTATAGAAAGTCTTTCGTATAATAATGTAGAATCATTATTACTTAAAGAGTGCACTCGACTTACCCCATCAGGACAATTTATATCTTTTAATTGAAATAAACTGGGGAGTTTCTCTGCAGCAAGTTTTTCGTACCAGAACATTTGAATATCGCCTTTCAAACAAGCCGACTTTTTCATGTCACATGAATAGCCAGTAGGGCAGCAATGCTCATCATCACCGCAACACACAGCCTATAAATAGTTACACAACAAAAGCTGCATATTATATCTAGCATCACTACAATGCTATAAATTAATACTTTGGAAGCAGTACTTCCATAGACATTCTAATGAATATGGCAATAATTGCAATAAGGACCAGCAATCAGAGAAATAATCATTCCATTGCTTGCTACCATCTCATTGTGACAAATAAAATTATGCTATGAATTGTTTTTTATAATTTAGTAAACATATATTTCAAAAAAACCCAAATTAACAATATCAAATCAGCCAAAAAGTTTACCATTTTACAATATTACTAAATCAAATATTACAAAATTTTAAAAAATAATATAAACAAAATAATGATTATAGTTATAATTATAATAATAAAAATAATAAAACATTAATAAAAGTAATATGGTTTACCTTTGGTTGAGGGCAGCAATCATATCCACCTGTGCTAGACATGCAGCATGTAAACTGTTCACTTGGGCAGTAGGACTGACGATCAGGGCACATAAAGGTGCCTGGGGGAGATGACCTTGTCTTCTCCATCCAAGGGAAAGAGATGACCCCATTTAGGCACTTTGATTCAGCCATGTCGCAGGTGGTACCAGTTGGACAACAGTGTAATTTATCCGAGCAACATACAGCCTACATAGAAGTAAAACCTTTGGTATATTTTGAAATGATGCAACATTGACATTGTAATCAAACTTGGATTTGCACTTGAAATAATTAACAGTTTCAGTACCACTAATATCATGATCTTTTAAATGTTGTCCTATGTTACATTTACTGTGCTCATCAGTACGTTGACATTGTAGTCTAATCTGTTCACTTCAGTGTTTTATCATTAATTGCTAGTTATCAATGCATGTTTGTGGGACAACTCATAAATAGTTCTGACAGTAACTGTTGAGAATATCTCATCAATAAAAACAACAGTTCTTGTCAGAACTATCTATTTGGTATGCAGTAAACATTTGTTAATAACTATATTGTTTGATGGGAGTATTTGCAAACTTCCATAAGAAGCTTCTTTTCAACATGGACAAGTTGTTGGTTGTACAAATACGCTGCATGAACAGCCTAATCTAAAGACGAAATAAACAAATTTAAGACCAAAAGAACATTAATTGAAAAGATGAGGAATACTAACCTTAGGATAAGGACAGCAGCCCCACTCCCCTGTGTCTAGTTGGCAGCAGGTGTTATCATCATCACAAACTGTTTGATCTTCACAAGTCACTTTATGTAAGTTAAAGTTAGGTTTGAATCTTAGGATAGGATCTGCTTGGACACTGGCCAACATACCCAGTATAAACAGTAGCTTCATCTGAAGAAAAGAACCATGGAGTGTAAGTTGCTTGTATATATTTGAGTCTAACAGCATGTGGTATTGTATCAGCGGCATAACGCCTGCAAGCTCTCAAAGAAGGGGGTGGGGGAAGATTACTGTTTGAAAAACAAAGTTAATTGATGGTTAAGTACTGAAGAGTTAAATACTTCAATTACACCTTTTCAGTCATTTCCTTAGCTGGGACATTATTCACACCTCTGGACACTCCTTGAGCGAAATTATTTTACTGAAACAGGGACCTCAAAATTTTCTCAACCCCGGACCCCATGACTCATCGTTACATCACTGTATCAAGATGGCAATGAGATATTGTGGGAACTAATCTTTAATTTTGCAGGATTTGGACCAAGGAATCTGTCACTAGAAGGCAGGCAGACATTAACCACAAGGCACCTGATCTACTAGAAGAGAAATCAGGAAAATATTAATTAACCATTGGGCCTACACAATTTAATGAGAAGCATATCTCAAGAAGGAGCCATAACCAATTTCCTTTTCAGGACCCTGGTTTTTGAAGACGGTCATCATGCCATAAAATTTCAACCAATATTTTATTTTTAGTCTTTATCAATCAAAAGTTATATTACACGAATTTCTTGTAATGAGAGAATCACTTCCTCAATATTTGCAGTATCTCTGTCACTTTCTAGATAAACAATACCTAGGAATTTATAATAAAATTTGGACTTGCACTTTTACATCAGCAGCACTTTATATAATTACAAACTTTCTAGTTATGATTGTCATTTGTCTTGATAAACTTAATATTTAGTAGGATTTTGTTATAATAAAATCTACAGTATTTGGACTTGAATAATTACAAAGCAACTTCAAACTAAACTCAACAAACAGAATTAAAATTGATCCCTTATATTCTCCCTCAATACTTACTGAACAATTCTTCTGTAATGTTTAAAAAATATAAATATTAAGTGTACAAACCTTACTACTTCCAAAAAAAATACTAAATAGGGAAGTAGTTAATACTTCTTCCCTCTTTGTCTAAAATACTAACATTTTACGGTTAAAGGTGGGTGGAGGGCCAGGCCATGAAATTAGCTTCAGGCACGATGGGTGGAATACATTGCCCACTGTACCTTGTGAGAATATGCAAAAAAGCATGGTTTCCTTAAAATCCCTACACTCTCAATGCAATGATTGTACTGCGTAGCATTCCCCGACCTAATCGGGAAGGCTCCCCGATTCGAACGACCAGCCAATCAGCATTGCTGAAAGCTCTTAGTGAGCAGGGCTGTAGCTGAAAACTAATGGTGGGTGATCAGATAGACATTTTGAGGGTAGGTGTATGATAACATTGGTAAACTCTACATAATAAGAGTGGATTTTAAGGATGGAAAAGTGGGTTAATGAGGGTAGGTAGAGGGCCATAAAATTAGATTTAGAATGGGTGGAAAACTTCAAGGATGGGTGGCCCACCCACCATAACTACGTATCCCTGAGTGAGTGTGCATGTAAAGATTAGTTACCATATGAGAGTTTCCTGTGTTAAAAACATGATTTACTATACTATACCTCTTTAAAATAAAACATAACTTGTACTTTGTAATAAGAGAAATATGTATATTATCGCTACTTGGAACAGTAACAACACGAAAGTCCTATGCTACTGCACTGTAATGCATTGGCCTATTTTAATACACTACTAAGATAAGATTGAAAAAGAAAAGCCTATCTTAGTAGTGTATTAAAAAAAAAAAAAAAATTTACAAAAATTTAAAATTTTTCAATTTTTTTTCAATCATATAGTGGTGTAGACTGGTCTTTTAAGAACATTTTCCTGGAAACACTTTTTGGATACGACGCCCCGTTATGGAGAAAATCAGCCCAAAAGCTTATCTTATTTCTGTTGGTTACGCACCGCTGATCCGCAATGTTTGTCATCACTTCAAGATGTCTACCGATTCGTGAAAAAGGTCTATTTACTTGAAAGCAAGTACAAGGAAAGTAATTTATTCAAGGCCATTTCCTGGTATAATTAAATCACTTCCTAATTAATGAGTGAACAGAGAATACTGAACTGAAACACCAAAAAAAAAACAGGTTAAAAAAAAACACAAAACTGAGAGCACATTCCTATTCTCGGTGATAAAATATCCATTATCCATTATCAAACTGAATTTTGTCAATAAACATGGCATGTCCATGGAGGTATAAAAATAATAGGTAGTGGCTACACCATTCTTAAATGAATTTCTGTTGTATGTGATTTTTTTAATAATGGAATTCATGCACACAATTCATCAAGGCCAATCACAGTTAAGAATTTGTTTAGCAATGCCAATGGTGTAGCCTAACTTATATTATAACATATCGTGCAAAGAATAATAGGTAGCCTAGGCCTAGAAAAGACGCCTGATGCAAGTACAACATGATTTTTGATAAAATAAAGTAATAATACACAGTACTCCACTAGGGGCCTAGGCCTATGTGTATTTTGCTGGAAAAGCATGCCAGAAGAGGCACAGCCCAGACGTTATCAAGTCCCTGGGCATTATGTAAACCTAGGCCTAGCATGAACTAGAGAAAGGGCTTTGCACAGCCTAGGCCTAGCCTTGTTTGTACTGATACTATGCCAGCAAGCTCGAATATTCTATCTACTGTCTAGGCTATCTAGGTTAGTATTGATGAAGACGGGTCAAAGCAGTATTATAATTCCATAGCTGTAACTAACCTTAACAGCAATGTGGACCTCTAGCAATGCCACATAAACGTCTGTTCATAAGCATGAGCCTCTACCTAAGAGAATTGAACTAACCGGTGTACGTATTTTATTAATAAACCACATATCTCAAGAGCGCGTGACAATGAGCTCACCTGACTTAACACGTGATAGAAACCCGGTTTCAATTTCTTTGAACAGCTGTAGTAGTAGTAGTAGATATATATATACATATATACATACCTCTTATACACATCTAGATGTGTATAAGAGACAGACTTAATATTTAGTAGGATTTTGTTATAATAAAATCTACAGTATTTGGACTTTAATAATTACAAAGCAACTTCAAACTAAACTCAACAAACAGAATTAAAATTGATCCCTTATATTCTCCCTCAATACTTACTGAACAATTCTTCTGTAATGTTTAAAAAATATAAATATTAAGTGTACAAACCTTACTACTTCCAAAAAAAAATACTAAATAGGGAAGTAGTTAATACTTCTTCCCTCTTTGTCTAAAATACTAACATTTTACGGTTAAAGGTGGGTGGAGGGCCAGGCCATGAAATTAGCTTCAGGCACGATGGGTGGAATACATTGCCCACTGTACCTTGTGAGAATATGCAAAAAAGCATGGTTTCCTTAAAATCCCTACACTCTCAATGCAATGATTGTACTGCGTAGCATTCCCCGACCTAATCGGGAAGGCTCCCCGATTCGAACGACCAGCCAATCAGCATTGCTGAAAGCTCTTAGTGCTGTCTCTTATACACATCTAGATGTGTATAAGAGACAGCCTGTTGCATGTGATCATCACCCAGACGGAAATGCCAAAGAGTGTGCATGAGACCGACCAAGCTGTTTATTTTAAGACCCATGTAAGATTTCACATAAACTTACACGTCTGTCTCTTATACACATCTAGATGTGTATAAGAGACAGATCCTGGAACGCGGACATGCTCTCTGATCCTACATATATCTACAATCTTGAAGTGGTTGGCGCATTGGTTGTGGCTTGGACTCCCACAACCTCGAGGTCGGGGGTTCGAAACTTGGGCAAGGCACTTTATCTACGGTTGCCTCTCTCCACCCAGGAGTACAAGTGGGTACCTGGTAGGTTCCAACACTGCGCTGATTACTAGCCGCAATACTATGGAGATATAATTTAATTTAATAATTTCATTTAGAGTTCAATGTGTTCCATATGTGTTTGATCCAATGACCGGGGTAATAATGTGAAGCGCTAGAGGCTTTGTTAAGGCATTAAGCGCTATATAAGAACGACATATTATTATTATTATTATTATTATTATTATTGCTAGATCACTCAACATCACACCGCCAGGTAGGCCCATCATATCAGGCAACATCACTCTCACAGAGAACATATCCGGCTATGTCGACTCTATTCTGAACCCCTTGCTAGTTTGTATCCCCAGCTTCATACAAGACACAACACATTTTCTAAAAAAACTCAACGACATCCCTCCTACCCAACCATGCATTGTTAGTCACTTTAGATGTATGCTCATTGTATACCAATATCCCACACGATGAAGGCATTCCGGCGTGTGAAAAATTCATTTCCACCCATGATCCGGCCCAATCATCCCCAGACATATCCAAACTTATCAAATTTATCCTCACCCACAATAACTTTGTTTTCCATGACAAACACTACCAACAAATAAGTGGCACAGCCATGGGCACCAAGATGGCTCCATGACGCAAACATTTTCATGGCCGAGCTGGAGGATAGACTCTTAGCGAATTCCAATCCTAAGCCATCACATTACTGTCGATATATTTTTTATTTGGGAACATGGGATTGATAAACTCAACGAATTTGAACGCTTTGCCAACAACTTCCATCCCCGTATCAAGTTTACTATCAACTCTTCGAGTAGTAACATCTCCTTCCTGGACGTATCTGTCCACTTAAAAAAACGAGATTATATCTACATCAGTTCATCATAAACCCACAGATAACCATCGCTATTTGGATTTCAATAGCTCTCATCACATCTCGCTCAAGAAGTCTCTTATATACAGTCAATGTCTCCGCATTAAACGCATCTGCTCTACCCCCTCTGTATAACAGTCAGAACTTGCCCGACTCACTTCTAAATTCCTAGCCAGCAACTATATCTCTCATCAAGTCTGCCATTTCTAAAACATCCACTAAGTCTCGTACAGACCTTCTGACGTATAACCTAAATCTAGTAATGATAGAATACCTGATATTCGACTACAGTCCGTCACAGTCCCAACCTAGAACCATTAGCTAATACACTCAGGAAAGATTTCCTCTCCCTCAAGCAAGACCCCACCATCGAACCATTATTCTGCAACCCCCCCTGTCCTTGCCCGCCGGCAACCCCCCAATCTGAAATCTCTCATCGCCTCCTATAAGCTCCCCACCACGACTCGTGATCATGGTAACACTACATGTCAAAAAGCTGGATGTCAACTGTGCAAATTCATCAACACAGATCACACATTCTCACCCCCTGGCACTACATACAGCATTCACCCTCCCGCTGCCAACTGTGATACATCCAATATTGTATACTTAATATATTGTAATATTTGTTGCCACGGTAATTATGTAGGGGAAACCGGCACCAAATTCAGACTTAGGATCAACAATCACAAAAAGTCAATCAGAGACAAAAGCCCACCTTCCCAGTTAGCGCTCATTTTAACCTCCCCGGCCACTCCATTGAGAACTTTAAGTGTATTATTCTAGGCTCTAACTATAGATCGTCCAATGACAGACGTTGTGCCGAAATAAAATGGATAAACAGGCTTAAATCCCACACCAACGGCCTTAACAAAGACCTTGGCTTTGCCACCGATTACACATTTACACATTTACTAACATCCAATAGGCCTTACTTATCATGTATATGCATATGATTGGACTTCTCGTATATTTCGCTTTTTTCATTTCTCATATTTTTATTCGTGCGTTTTATATATATATATATATATATATATATATATATATATATATATATTGTATTATTATTGAATATGTCATTTATTTTGTCAGTTATCTATTTATCATGTTTAGACCCTAGACTGTACCACCAGATTATTACATTATTTATCTTGTATTTAACATCCTAAGATTGGGCTACTTGATACCTAGTTTTGCTTATTTCACTCTATTTTATAACTTTGTAAATATGAGTTGTAAATAAGATGTGTATAAGAGACAGCCATCGAACCCTTATTCTACAACCCCCTTGTCCTTGCCCGCCGGCAACCCCCCAATCTGAAATCTCTCATCACCTCCTCTAAGCTCCCACAACGACTCGTGATCATGGTAACACTACATGTCAAAAAGCTAGATGTCAACTGTGCAAATTCATCAACACAGATCACACATTCTCACCCCCTGGCACTACATACAGCATTCACCCT